GGGTTTTTTAAACTAGTGCTGTTGGAGTGTGAGCAAAGTAACATTTATGAAGGATCAAAACCGGCAGCCGGCTTTAGTCCCGGGGATGGGGAAGTACAGTGCCTGCACTGAAGGAGGGGTGTTAATGTTTCAGTTTTAAAAAAATGTAGTGTAAAGCCCCTTCTGGCAAGACATGATGGGGTGAAGATGTGAAAGTTTTTTTTTTTTTCGGGCCCCCCTGCCTTTGGGGAAACGGCCGGTGGTAAAAAAAAAAAAAAAAAATGATGCCACTACTTTTTTAGCCTAATCTAGTAATCAGCTGTCTTATTTATTTTCTTTTAAAATGCATGATTTAACAAGATAGTTATAAGGCTGTTGGGGAAAGGTTTTGGTTTTCTTTAGACTTTCCCCATTAAATTTAATCTAAATAGCCAGAATGTATTTAATTAGACCTTAAACAGGCTCACACCAACCCCCCCCCCCCAAGCTGGAAGGGGTCGCTTCGCTTACTAGTAACTCAAAGGGGCCCCGCCAATCTGAATAGCCTAGGGCCCGGAGACTTCTTAATCCGGCCCTGACTGTACACCGTGTACGTCAGGCCCATATTGGAGTATGCAGTGATCAAGCACATCAAGAAATTAGAGAGAGTGCGAAGGTTTGCAACAAGGTTAGTTCCAGAGCTAAGGGGAATGTCCTACGAAGAGAAGTTAAGGGAAATCGGCCTGATAACACTGGAGGACAGGAGGGTTAGGGGAGACATGATAACAACAAATAAAATACTGCGTGGATTAGACAAGGTGGGCAGAGACAGGACGTTCCAGAGAGGGGACACAGAAACAAGAGGTCACAATTGGAAATTGAAGACCCAGATGAGTCAGAGGGATGTTAGGAAATATTTCTTCAGTCACAGTCGTCAGGAAGTGGAATAGCCTAGCAAGCGAGGTAGTGGAGGCAGGAACCATACATAGCTTTAAGATGAGGTATGATAATGCTCATGGAGCAAGCAGGGGGAGAGAGAGGGCCTAGTAGCACTCAGTGAAGAGGCGGGGCCAGGAGCTGAGTCTCGACCCCTTCAACCACAATTAGGCGAGTACAAAACACGCACAAAACACGTGTACACATCCTGTACTTGATCCGTGCATCCACATATAGATGTTTACAGTTCAAATTTTCTGGCATTCTTCATTCGTAATCCTTGTCAGAATTTTGCTTTTTGCCAGACCCACAGTAAACCTCTGACCCACTGATTTTGAAATTTAAACTGTATATATGCAGCATGTTTAGTTATTGTTGTACTTACAAAGACTGTTGAAGTACTACAGTTCAGAAAGTGGTAAATTTTAGAATTTTATTGGAACTAAAAAACCAGTCACAAATTTCTGAATTTTCAGGTTCGCTGTTTCATAGTTGACTGTTTCATCGTGGATTTGTGATTCTGCTTGGGGGACGTCTGGGGCACTTGAAGCCACAGAATTTTAAGTTGTAGGCCTTCTGCTATGACTCTCATTGTTTGTCTAATTTTTTTTTTTTTTTAATATTTCATCTAAGCAGAGTTGTTGCTTTATGTGCTTTAATCTGTCCCTGGGTAATTTTTTATGTAATACTGTAATACCGGGCCGCGGGGGCGTTGACCCCCGAAACTCTCTCCAGGTAATATCTTGTTCAGTCATGAAGGAATGTGGTTCTAGGACCTTAATTTGACAACTTGATTAACTTGTCAGTATCTATGGTTATTGACAAGTTGATATTATGATTAACCCTTTGAGGGTCTGTCCCGTTAGTTCTACAGCTTTGAAGCCAGGGTCCAAGCTATAGTACTATGTCATGAGCTCAGCTCACTCAGACATGCTGTGAGCGGTAAATTTGGGCCAAGATATGAGAGAATGCATCCATGTGGTAAGTTTGCACCATATAAAACAAATCCTGCAGCATGCAGTGCATAATGAGAAAAAACTGCAATTGTGTTTTTGGATTTAATCAGTGATTTTGTGTTTTTTGTGTGTTTTTTACAGTTGTATTCATGGTTTCTTGGTCTCATTGGATAGAATGGAAGATATAGAAATAGAGATCATTTTGATTTGTTTTAATACTGAAAATAGCATGAAATTGAGCTCAAAGTAGCGGAAATGTTAAGTTTTTGCCGATGTTCGAGTAAACAAATCGCATCACGCATCCAATACATGTCAGCTGGTGCGTCTAACGTCCACACACGAATGCACTTTTTTTTTTAACAAGTCGGCCGTCTCCTACCGAGGCAGGGTGACCCAAAAAGAAAGAAAATCCCCAAAAAGAAAATACTTTCATCATCATTCAACACTTTCACCTCACTCACACATAATCACTGTTTTTGCAGAGGTGCTCAGAACACAACAGTTTAGAAGCATATACGTATAAAGATACACAACATATCCCTCCAAACTGCTAATATCCCAAAAACCCCTCCTTTAGAGTGCAGGCATTGTACTTCCCATTTCCAGAACTCGAGTCCGGCTATATAAAAATGACCGGTTTCCCTGAATCCCTTCACTAAATATTACCCTGCTAACACTCCAACAGATCATCAAGTCCCAAATACCATTCGTCTCCATTCACTTCTATCGAACACGCTCATGCACGCCTGCTGAAGTCCAAGCCCCTCGCCCACAAAACCTCCCTTATCCCTTCCTTCCAACCTTTTTGAGGACGACCCCTACCCCGTCTTCCTTCCCCTACAGATTTAAATGCTCTCTGTGTCATTCTACTTTGATCCATTCTCTCTAAATGATCAAACCACCTCAACAACTCCTCTTCAGCCCTCTGACTAATACTTTTATTAACTCCACACCTTCTCCTAATTTCCACACTCCTAATTTTCTGCATAATATTTACACCACACATTGCCCTTAGACAGGACATCTCTACTGCACAAATAACCCGCACATAGAAGAGAGGAGGTTAGGACGATGTTTCGGTCCGACTTGGACCATTTACAAAGTCACACTGTGACTTTGTAAATAGTCCAAGTCGGACCGAAACGTCGTCGTAAGCTCCTCTCTTCTATGTGCGGGTTATTTGTGTATCGTTCCAGTCACAGTATTGTGCCTTTTTTTGTTATTCATCTCCACTGCCTCCAACAGCCTCCTCGCTGCTGCATTCACAACCCAAGCTTCACACCCATATAAGAGTGTTGGTACTACTATACTTTCATACATTTTCCCCTTTGCCTCCATAGATAATGTTTTTTGTCTCCACATATACCTCAATGCACCACTCGCCTTTTTTCCCTCATCAATTCTATGCTTAACCTCAACCTTCATAAATCCTTCCGCCGACATGTCAACTCCCAAGTATCTGAAAACATTCACTTCTTCCTTATATTATTTATACAATTATTACAGTATTGCATAACGGTAAATCTTGTATTTTTTAGTGTGAATAAAAATTCTTTTTGAATAAAAATCAAAATTGAATTCATCTGTAAAGCCTGGAAGCATAACTAATAAATAGAGGAAATGTTACTTTAGTGCCAGGAATTTCTGCATTGTTTATTTTGGACCCTATTTTGAAATTGGAACTTTTCGAACTTTGTGTGAAATTGGCCAAATTAGCAATTTCTGATCACATTATTGGTAGTTGAAATAGTTGATTGGGCAATTTCTTATGCTCAATAGATAAAATGGAATATATACAGGTACCATCCAACTTACAACCAAGCTTGGTTCCAACCAACCGGTCGTAAGTCAAAAATTGATGCAAGTCAAACCTTACTACTGAATATCAACATCACGCTTTTGTAATGATTTTATTTTATTGTTTTATTTTGGTATTTCATTTTTTACTTTACTTTTTATGCTGTTAGTGCTGTATTTTATACCATAAGGTTTAGGATAAACACTGTGCACAATGAAAACAGTTGTTTATTTCCCAGAAATCTGGCATAAAAAACATGGTTGTAAGTCGAGTGATCGTATGTCGAGCAGGTTATAAGTTGGATGGTAGGTGTACTAGCGAAATTGCTAAGATTTTGGTCTAATGGAACAATGTAATTGGCTGAAAATAGGAGTCAGAGTGGGCAAAATTGCCAATGCATAAATATCGCCAACACAAAATTTGTGAGAGCATAATTTTGCCAATTTTTGGTCAAATTTCATACTTTGTTTTATTGCCTTCAGAAAAAGATTCTCTACCATTTAATAATATTTTTTTTTTTACTGAATTCTTGGACCCTGTGGGGAATTTTTAGATTGGGGGTCTGGATGCTCAAAGGGTTATTCCTAGTCACTTACATTGTTTATAATGAAGTTGTTGGTGATCCCTTGATTTTGATTTTTAGCAGATTTTGCTAACATTTAAAGGAAGTTTTGTGTGCGAGGGGCTTGGACTTCCAGCAAGCATACGTGAGCATGTTTGATAGTGTATGGAGACAAATGGTTTTTAGGACTTGACGTGCTGTTGGAGTGTCAGCAAGGTAAAATTTATGAAGAGATTCAGGGAAACCGGCAGACCGGACTTGAGTCCTGGAGATGGGAAATAGTGTCTGCACTCTGAAGGATGTTAATGTTGCAGTTTTATAACTGTAGTGTAAGCGTGCCTCTGGCAAGACAGTGCTGGAGTGTATGATGAAAGTTTTTCTTTTTCGGGCCACCCTGCCCTGGTGGGAGACAGCCGATATGTTAACAAAAAAAAAATTTAACCCTAGCTATTACTATTAATCCTAGTCATAGCTAGAATTAAATGTTAGCAAATTATGCTAAGAATAAAAATCGAGGGATCACCAACAGCTTCAGTGTAAACAGTATAAGTGAGCATGCTCTACATACAAGGCTCTCTATGGCTGTACTCTTAATTTTGTCAGGTTTATAGGAGGTGCCTGACCATCTGTTGCCGGAGCCCAGCCCACCGCCGGGCTCCGGAAGTAGAAAAACTCTTGAAATTCATCAGAGGTGTATCGAAGGTATATCAAAGGTAGACCCTTGATCAGAATCCAATCACATGCTCAGCCTGCAACCTTAACCTTGAATTCCCTTCCTGGCCTTTTGCAGGTACTGCTGGCTCAAGGTGGGCAGGTTCCCATGAACTCTCAGCATTTGGCCCAGCTGCAACAATATTATAACAGTTTAGGTCATTTGCAGGATGACGCCTATGTGATTGAGGCGCCATCGTTTATTGTGCCCTACGTTATGGAGGGGAAGCCAAAGGTAGGTTTAGGGTTTAAAATAAGGATTGTTTGAAATTTTGTGAATTGCAAGCCACATAGTGTCATGTGATATTTTTAACCCATTAGTTTGAAGTTGTAAAATTTGAGAATAGTGGTTTGCATAAATTTCTTAAGTCTGCATTAATTATATGTTTTTTTTTCAACAAGTCAGCCAGTTGCAATCTAAATCACCATAAGTGATCTGTTCCTGCTTTGAACTTCTTAATATTTTTTAAAATACTTAATTTTACTTACTTTTCCTAATGGTGTTCATGTTCTGTGGTCCTTTTTATCATTTATCTGCTTTTACACTTGTGTGTGTTTCTGATCTGTTCATCTTAAACATCTATAATGTAAGTGCTTCTCAGACATCATCTTTTAATTACTACGCTCCGAATTCTCTTCATAATATTCACTGTATATGTACCTTATTCTCAAACATATCTCCAATGCCACAGCCTCCTTGTTACAGCCTTCAAAACCTGTGCCTCACACCCATATAAATGCTGGTACCACTAAACTTGGGTACATTCCTTTTCATGCTTCCATAGATAAGCCTTATTTCTTTTTACAGATGCTTCTTCACACCACCTACTTTCTTTTCCCCTTCATCTTTTCTACTGTTCACCTGACATGTCTACTTCCAAATATCTAAATTATAGCTACTTCCTTGATGCTCCTTCCAGTTGATATTCAGTCTGTCATTACTTAGGCTTTTTGTTACTCTCATCACCTTGCTCTTTTCAGTGTTAAATTTTAATTGCTTTGTTATCTGTCCACCAACCTTTACAGTTTGTTTTCAGAATCCTTCTAAACTGTCTTATCAACAAACATCAACTGTCATAACTCCCACTTTGTATCAGATCCAGTAATAAATACATTAAACAACGTTGGTGACACACATCTCTGTCTGAGTACAGTAGAACCTCGGCTTGCGGATTTAATCTGTTTTGTGACCTTGTTCGTATCCTGATTTGTTCATATGCCGAGTCAATTTTCCTCATTTAAATTAATTAAAAAGCCATTAATTAATTCGTTCCAGCGGAATTCCTGCTCTCAGGAGGCATGACAAAATACACTTCAATATGATGCTAATATCAACTCTATGGCTTATTTATCTATCACAATTCATCTGATATGACATAATAAACAATATAAATAACATAGAAACACAATATATACTCTAGAATGAATAAAATAGACCATAATATGACGAGTGATGGCGACAGCAAGTGGTGGCAGCATCCGTCATTTACTCTCCCACTGAGTATACTAGTATCTTCCCATATTCTTATTATAAGAGAAAACAGAGTGTTTGTGAGGCTAGCTGCACTAGATCACAGTTTCATAAGGAAAACGCTGGAACAATGTACGTAATTTATAAATGAAAAATAGAGAATGCAATAAAATAGTGGCTCTTTCTTTCAACACACTGGCCGTATCCCACCAAGGCGGGGTGGCCCAAAAGGAAAAATGAAAGTTTCTCCTTTTACGTTTAGTAATATATACAGGAGAAGGGGTTACTAGCCCCTTGCTCCCGGCATTTTAGTCGCCTCTTACGACATGCATGGCTTACGGAGGAAGAATTCTGTTCCACTTCCCCATGGAGATAAGAGGAAATAAACAAGAACAAGAATTTAAAGAAAATAGAAGAAAACCCAGAGGGGTATGTAGGTATATATATGCTTATACATGTATGTGTAGTGTGACCTAAGCATAAGTAGAAGTAGCAAGACGTACCTGAAACCTTGCATGTTCATGAGACAGAAGAATGGACACCAGCAATCCTACCATCATGTAAAACAATTACAGGCTTTCGTTTTACACTCACTTGGCAGGATGGTAGTACCTCCCTGGTTGGTTGCTGTCTACCAGCCTACTACCTAGAACATAGTGGTTATTGTATGTATAATATAGTACACACTTACCCTGGAGCAGGTGCTGGCAGAGCTTGCTACGCTCTTAATTAGTATCGTACACATCATAGAAGTATTATGCAGGTACTGCCTGGCCCAGTCCATAGTCCCACATATAAAATAAAATAACATTTTTACTTACCTTCATTGAAGATTGGTGATGGCATCTGGAAGATAGGGAGGAGGAGAGAGGGAGTTGGGGTTAGTGTTTGGAAGGAGAATCCCCCTCCATGAGGACTTCAGGTAAAGCCCTCTCTGGGGTTACTTCCCTTCTCTGTCTTTTATTGCCACTAGGGCCAGCTTGAGAGTCACTGGACCCCTGTCTCACAAAATAACTGCCCACAGTCCTCTGTTTCTGGTGCCTCTTTAACATTTCCCTAAAATGGGACATGGTTCTGTCACTGAACTGGTTCCAAGAGTTTTCTGTACCAGATCGGCATGCAACTTCCTTGCCTTTTCGCAAATAATCGTCTCTGAAACACTATCACCTGCCATCTCTTCATCCTTGATCCACAACAGGTAAACAGCAACAACAACTCAACCTCTTCAACTATTTGTGGTCTTTTTTGGTTAGCATATTAACACCTTTCAAAACATCAGCTTCCTTGATTTGTTCTTTCTTTGCCAGGATAGAACCGATGGTCGACTTGTTTTTCCCATACATCCTGGCAAGCTCAGCAAGTCTCACAACACACTCATACTTCGGTATTATTTCCTTCTTCACATCTATGATGTTTCTCACTTTCTTTACCACAGGGGTACCACTAGCAAGTTTCTTTGGGCCCATGGTAGCTTATTTCATAGTCCCACAAGCACTAAACACAATGAAATAATAGTAAAATGTTTGAATGAGTGCGCAGGTTAGTGTTCACTCAAGCATCAACAAAGCCTGACTGGCTCACGGCACCTGCGCGGGGACACGGACAGAGCAGGCTTGCGGACAGGTCCGGTATCCGGAGGTCCGAAAATAGGGGCGCGTTCGATAATAGGGACAAAGTTGGTTCGGAAAAAGGGTTCTATTTTTGAAACATTCAATAAGTGATACGTTCAAAATTTGAGGTTCCACTGTATATACACACCCCTCTGGGTTTTCTTCTATTTTCTTTCTAGTTCTTGTTTATTTCCTCTTTATCTCCATGGGGAAGTGGAACAGAATTCTTCCTCCGTAAGCCATGCATGTTGTAAGAGGTGACTAAAATGCTGAGAGCAAGGGGCTAGTAACCCCTTGTCCCATATAGATTACTAAATTTAAAAAGAGAAACTTTTGTTTTTCTTTTTGGCCCACCCTGCCTCGGTGGGATATGGCTGGTTTGTTGAAAAAAAAAAAAAAGTCAGTTTGTTAGTCAGCCTTACTCACCTTGTTGAACTTGATCCAAAACAGATTATTCTCAGCAGAATTTCCTTGTGAAGACTCCACCATTCTCTCTCTGGCTTTCCTTTTGTACTCCTCTGCTCTTTCAGCCTCCTGCTTTTTGTCTTATCATTTTTAAATTCCAAAACCACCTTGTATGCTAATTTTTTCTCCCTTTTTACTGTTGACCAATGTTTACCAAACATGAACATAAACAGAATGTCAGTGCATATGGTGAAAAAAAAGAGGACAAATCATAAACATTTATTAATTTAGGTATTGGGAAATTGTAATTATTTCAAGTACAGTTATTTACCACCCTCTTCCAAGCAGAAAATGAACACCACCCACCTTTTCCCCTTGCCGACCATAAAATTGATGAGGTAAAAAAAAGGTTGGTTGTGTATTGAGGCATATGTGGAGACCGTTACTCTTGGAGGCAAAACAGGAAACAATGATAGTATAGTGGTACCAACACACTTATGTAGGTGTAAAGCATGGGTTGTGAATGTTGCAATAAGGAGGAGGCTGGAGGCAGTGGAGATTGTTTGAGGCCTTAGTGTAGTGTGAATGTTAGGGAGAAAGCTTGTAGTTTGGAGATTAGATGGTGGTGTGGAGTTACTAAAAGTATTATCCAGAGGGCTGAGGAGGGGTTGTTGAGGTGGTTTGAATATTTCAAGAGGATGGAAAAAAAAGTAAGGAGGGTGTGTAAATCTGTAGTGGAGGGAAGGCGTTGTTCTAGGAAAAGTTGGAAGGTTTGAGTAAAGGAGGTTTTGTATGTGACGGCTTGTGTGTGTGTGTGTGTGTGTGTGTGTGTGTGTGTGTGTGTGTGTGTGTGTGTGTGTGTTGTGTGTGGTGTGTAGTGGTGTGTGTTGTGTGTGTGTGTTAGTGTGTGTTAGTGTGTGTGTGTTAGTGTTAGTGTGTGTTAGTGTGTGTTAGTGTGTGTTAGTGTTGTGTGTGGTTGTGTGTGTTGTGTGTGTGTGTGTGTGTGTGTTAGTGTGTGTGTGTTAGTGTGTGTGTGTTAGTGTTGTGTGTGTGTTGTGTTAGGAGTGAGTGAAGGGAAGTGGTTTTTATGACTTGAAGAGCTGTTGGAGTGTGAGCAAGGTAACATTTATGATGGGATTCAGGGAAATCAGTTAGCTGGAGATGGATAGTAGAGTGCTTGCACTCTGAAGGTAGTGTGGGGATATTTGCAACTTGGGGGGGAGGAATCTGAAATGTAGTATCAGCATGCCTCTGGCAAGACAGTAATGGAATGAGTAATGGTGAATTTTTTTCTCCTTTTTTGGGTCACCTCTCCTCTGGGGGAGATGGCCGGTGTGTTGAGAAAATAGTACTAGCAAAATAGGAATGCATTTGGTGAAAAAATGTTTGAGAAAAGCTTGAAATTTTTTTGTATATTTACTGTGACTATTAACTGCAAATTAGTATTTGCAAGTCATTAATTGATTCTGAAGTGTGGAATGTTGCAAGTCAGGACTCTACTGTACATAATAAAGTAATATAAATCTTACTTTTTGCTATTCTTTATCAGTTTAAAGCAACATTTCTGCAGCATCCCATTTGTCAGTAGGTAGAGAACTTTTTAAGTTTGCCCTTTTTTTGTTTTGCAGTTTGAGGTTTATAGAGTACATTTTTCAGTTTTGTTCACCATATTATGGATTGGTCCATTGATGGTGACATTTATCAAACCACTCTTTTTAAGAGGCTTAGAGAAAACATGCACAATCTTTAAATGAATTGCAGGAATTAAAATGTTTGCTATTGATTATACTCTGATGTTTTGGACAAATTTCTTGTTGAGAATGTTTGTTAATAAGACTATTTTTGCTATGGAATTTCTGGACAGTTTATTCAGCTGTAATACCCGTTTTTTAATTTATGCAGGAACCAATTAAAGCCTTCTTGCGTAGAATCAACAAAGAGCTTGAGGAATTTGAGAAGAAAGAGAAAGAGGAGGAAGAGAAGAAAAAGAAAATTCAAGAAGAAAAAGAAAAGGCAGAACAAGAGGAAAGAAGGAAATTAGAGGAGGAGGAGAGGAAGAAAAGGATAGAAGCAGGTGAAGAAGTGGAGGAAACTAAAAAGGAAACAGATGGTGAAAAGGAAGAAGAAATGGAGACAGATGCGAGTGAAAAGAGTGACAAGGGTGAAGACAAATCTGACACTAAGGAAAATGACACTGAAAAGAGTAAGGACAAGGAAGATAGTGGCAGTGATGCTGTTTTGTGTAGTAAGAAAGATGAAAATGGGGGTAAAGATGGGGATAAAAAGGAAACTGAAAGTGCAGTAAAGAAGGATACTAATGAAGAAAAGGGAAAAGGAACAGAAAAAGAAAGTAAGAAGGCCGTAGAAAAGATAGACAAAGAAACAGCTGTGGTGGATGATGACGATAAGGAAAATAAAGATAAAAGTAGTGATACAGACAGTGTGGTAGATTTAGAGAAAGAAATCAAGAAGAGAGCGGCAGACGACATGAGTCACCTTGGAAAGTAAGTATTGATGCATTGTGTATTTCTCTCTAATTGCTCTCATACACATTATGGCATCATTCTGTTGGAGTATAGGAGTAGATCAGAGCCCCAATCCACTTTTCATATTACTGAAACTCAAACATTTAGTGATTTTGATAAATAAAATTGCTTTATTAGGTTGCTGTATCTTTAGCATATCTTTGGTGAGAATTTGAGGTTCTTATTTATGCAGCTGAATCTGAACTTCAGCTTTACTGGGAATCTCACTCATTAGACAGCCTGCAGTCATGAGCTGTTTTATCTTTACCTCCAATGGCCTTCAAATACAAATCAAATCTGAGCATTTAAATGAAAATCATAGACATTTTACTAAAATTTTAATGTACAGTACTCTAATATACTGGAAATTATTAAGTCACCATTAGTGTAGTTTTGAGTATAGTACAATAATAACAAAAAAGAGTTCACTTGTGGCAACTCTCATAAGTGGTTTTAACACCACCTGTATAGCTTTGTTACTATGGTTGTAGAATTTTTATTATGTTGCACATTATCAGTAGTGTGGCACCAACACCCACACAGCATTGCTAATGAGCACTAATCAGAGCTTGATTTCTTGCACTGTTCAAAAACAAAGTTTTAATGTTGAGATAATTTCATTCCGTACTGTAATGTTTAATATGTTTTCTAATAATTACTGTATTACCTGTCATAAGACAAGCTTTCACCCATCTTATGAATAAGTACAAGCCACCAAAGAGAAAAAAAAAAGAGAAAAAATAACAAAAGTGTCTGAGGCTATCATCGTACTACCATATGTTGTTGAGTTTAAGGGGTGCAACACCCTGAATTGCTGGGGGAACCATCTCACTTCTATAATTTTGACTAAGAGGAAAACTAAAGTTTTTTTTTTTTTTTTAACAAGTCGGCCGTCTCCCACCGAGGCAGGGTGACCCAAAAAGAAAGAAAATCCCCAAAAAGAAAATACTTTCATCATCATTCAACACTTTCACTTCACTCACACATAATCACTGTTTTTGCAGAGGTGCTCAGAATACAACAGTTTAGAAGTATATACAGTGGTCCCTCGTTTATCGTCGTTAATCCGTTCCTGGAAGTTCGACGATTATCGAAAAAGACGATATTGGAATCAATTTTCTCCATAAGAAATAATGTAAATACAATTAATCCATTCCTGACACCCAGAAGTATTAAAACAAAAATTTTTTTTATATTAAATATAGATGTAGTACATAAACAATACAATAGGACATGATGAATGAAACATTAACAGCATAACACTTACCTTTATTGGCGATTCTTCTTAGTGTATGGAAGACTGGAGGAGGAGAGAGATTGGATTAGTTACTGTTTGGAAGGGGAATCCCCTTCCATCAACACCTTAGGTACAAAGTCCTTTTCTGGGGTTACTTCTCTTCTCTGTTTCTTAATGCCACTAGGACCACCTTGAGAGTCACTGGAGTCCTGTCTCACAAAACAAGTGTCCAGAGAACTCTGTTTCTGGCATCTCTTTAAAACTTCTCTAAAATGGGCCAAGACTCTGTCACTGTACAAGTTGCCGATATGGCTTGCAACATCCTTCTCAGGGTGATGTTTCTCCATAAATCTTTCCATCCTACCCTACATTTCAAAAATCTCCTTAATTTCTGAGGAAGGCACCTTCTTTCATCTCTCTTCCTCCTCCTCTGCAGCAAGATTCTGAGCTGCGATCTGTTACTGTTCCTGCTGAAGCTCTTGCAGCTCCTCAGTGGTTAGCTCTTTGTTGTGGTCCTCCACCAACTCTTCCACATCCTCCAAAGTCACATCCAACCCCATGGAACTCCCCAATGCCACAAAGAGTTCACAAGTGACATAGGCTCATCAGGGTCAGCCACAAACCCTTCAAAATCCCTCTTGTGGACATAATCTGGCCACAATTTTCTCCAAGCAGAGTTCAAAGTCCTGGTAGTCACTCCCTCCCAAGCCTTACCTATAAGGCTTATGCAATGGAGGATACTGAAGTGTTCTTTCCAAAACTCTCTTCGGGTCAAGCGAGTGTCTGAGGTCACCTTAAAGCACCTTTGAAACATTGCTTTGGTGTAGAGTTTTTTAAAGTTTGAAATGACCTGTTGGTCTATGGGCTGGGGAAGAGGAGTGGTATGAAATTGAGCTCAAAGTAGCGGAAATGTTAAGTTTTTGCCGATGTTCGAGTAAACAAATCGCATCACGCATCCAATACATGTCAGCTGGTGCGTCTAACGTCCACACACGAATGCACTTTTTCTTTTAACAAGTCAGCCGTCTCCTACCGAGGCAGGGTGACCCAAAAAGAAAGAAAATCCCCAAAAAGAAAATACTTTCATCATCATTCAACACTTTCACCTCACTCACACATAATCACTGTTTTTGCAGAGGTGCTCAGAACACAACAGTTTAGAAGCATATACGTATAAAGATACACAACATATCCCTCCAAACTGCCAATATCATAAACCCCTCCTTTAAAGTGCAGGCATTGTACTTCCCATTTCCAGGATTCTAGTCCGGCTATATAAAATAACCGGTTTCCCTGAATCCCTTCACTAAATTTTACCGTGCTCACACTCCAACAGCTCGTCAAGTTCCAAATAGCATTCGTCTCCATTCACTCCTATCTAACACGCTCACATAAGCTTGCTGGAAGTCCAAGACCCTCGCCCACAAAACCTCATTTACCCCCTCCCTCCAACCTTTTCGAGAACGACCCCTACCCCGCCTTCCTTCCCCTACAGATTTATACGCTCTCCATGTCATTCTACTTTGATCCGTTCTCTCTAATTGACAAAACCACCTTAACAACCCCTCTTCAGCCCTCTGACTAATACTTTTATTAACTCCACACCTTCTCCTAATTTCCACACTCCGAATTTTCTGCATAATATATACACCACACATTGCCCTTAGACAGGACATCTCCACTGCCTCAAACAACCTTCCCACTTTTCCTGGCATACTCAGTAAACTTATTCCTCTATGAGTTTTACAATCTCTCTCTGTCCCCCTTCCCTTTATATAAAGGGACTATACATGATCTCTGCCAATCCCTAGGTACCTTCCACTCTTTCATACATTTATTAAACAAAAATACCAACCACTCCAACACTATATCCCCCCTGCTTTTAACATTTCTGTCATGATCCCGTCAGTTCCAGCTGCTTTACCCCCTTTTATTCTACGTAAGGCCTCACGCACCTCCCTCACACTCACATCCTGTTCTTCTTCACTCCTAAAAGATGGTATACCTCCCTGGCCAGTGCATGAAATTACGCTTCCCTTTTTTTCGTCGACGTTTTAAAAGTTCCTCAAAGTATTCTCGCCATCTACCCAAAACCTCCATCTCCCCATCTACTAACTCCCCTACTCTGTTTTTAACTGACAAATCCATTTGTTCTCTAGGCTTTCTTAGCTTGTTTAACTCCAAAAATTTTTCTTATTTTCATTAAAATTTCTTGACAGTGCCTCTCCCACTCTATCATCTGCTCTCCTTTTGCACTCTCTCACCACTCTCTTCACCTTTCTTTTACTCTCCATATACTCTACTCTTCTTATAACACTTCTGCTTTGTAAAAAGCTCTCATAAGCTACCTTTTTCTCTTTTATCACTTTCTTTACTTCATCATTGCACCAATCATTCCTCTTTCCTCCTGCACCCACCCTCCTATAACCACAAACTTCTGCCCCACTTTCTAATACTGCATTTTTAAAACTATTCCAACCCTCTTAAGAACATAAGAAAGGAGGAACACTGCAGCAAGCCTGTTGGCCCATACTAGGCAAGTCCTTTACAATTCATCCCACTAACAAAACATTTGCCCAACGCAATTTTCAATGCTACATGTTATGTACATGTCCTCTGAGGACATGTACATAACCTTCACGACTACGACAACTACTACTACAACTAACCCATCTCTTTGGGAAGGACCTACTTCAACCCCATCCCTACTCATACTTTGCACCAGCCCACCTTTCTGCCTATAGTTGCTTATATCTCACCTGAACTTCCTCCTCCCTTAGTCTATACACTCTCACCTCCCTCTTATTTGTTGTTGCCATTTTTCTCTTGTCCCATCTACCTCTTACTCTAACTGTAGCTACAACTAAATAATGATCCGCTATATCAGTTGCCCCTCTATAAATATGTACATCCTGGAGCCTACCCATCAACCTTTTATCCACCAATACATAATCTAACAAACTACTTTCATTACGTGCTATATCATACCTTGTATATTTATTTATCCTCTTCTTCATAAAATATGTATTACTTATTACCAAACCACTTTCTACACATAGCTCAATTAAAGGCTCCCCATTTTCATTTACCCCTGGCACCCCAAATTTTCCTACTGCTCCCTCCACAACATTTTTGCCCACTTTAGCATTTAAATCCCCAACCACCATTACTCTCACACTTGGTTCAAAACTCCCCATGCATTCACTCAACATTTCCCAAAATTTCTTTCTCTCCTCTACACTTCTCTTTTCTCCAGGTGCATATATGCTTACTATAACCCACTTTTCACATCCAACCTTTATTTTACTCCACATAATCCTTGAATTAATACATTTACATTCCCTCTTTTCCTGCCATTATATAACTTATCCTTCAACGTTATTGCTACTCCTTCTTTAGCTCTAACTCTATTTGAAACCCCTGACCTAATCCCATTTATTCCTCTCCACTGAAACTCTCCCACCCCCTTCAGCTTTGTTTCACTTAAAACCAGGACATCCAGCTTCTTCTCATTCATAACATCCACAATCATCTCTTTCTTATCATTTGCACAACATCCACGCACATTCAGACTTCCTACTTTGACAATTTTCTTATTCTTATTCTTTTTAGTAATTTTTACGGGAAAAGGGATTACTAGCCCATTGTTCCCGGCATTTTAGTTGACGTTTACAACTTGCATGGCTAACGGAGGAGAGATTCTTATTCCACTTCCCCATGGATATAAAAGGAAAAGTAATAA